TGGAGCGGGGACACGAGGCCCAGATACGCCAGCAGCACAACTCGAGACACTACCGCTCGCAGGAAGAAATCGAAAGGGGTGAGTTCCAATCACTTGCTGGGCGCAAAACCCGCGCACATTCTTTCCCCACCTGCCGCGCCGCCGCCCTGTAGGGGACAACCAACTCAGCAGCGACGGAAAGTTCAAACCGGCCTAATTTTAACCAAATAGGCCTACGGGTCAATATGGAGTTCTCGTGACGTTTTACAGTTAGGTAGATACCGTATGGTCATGTCTTGCTGGAGCCCCCCCACCCCCCAGAAAAAAAACGTGCTAATAACCACCGTGCTTTAAAAAGCAGGTGAATTTAATAGTCATCTGAGCTCAAGGTATATGATTAACCAAGAGGTCAACCGGTAAAAACTTGTAAGTGCGTTCAACTGTCATTCAAACACTTGAGTCGAGAGTCAAACTCCTCTGCTATGAGACACTTCCCAAACTAAGTGCGCTCCCCAACGCAGAAATTTTCTACCGAGTAGTCGTGATTTATTATCAGTTTAGGGGAAGGTGCCCAGTGATGGACACTGTACCAGTGATGGCCACTTTTCTCGATTTGCAGCCAAACTCGTCACTGTACGACCTTGGCACGGAACTCATATTCTAGGAAGACCCCTACCGGAGTACCTATAGTAAGCCAGCCAAACTACCTCGCCCTGTTCTGTACATTCCGAGAAAAAGAGGTGTCCATGTCCATCACTGGGCAGATCCATCTCTTAAGGCGTCCATCATTGGGCAGGGCATCTTACCCTACCCTACTCTTTTCTTTCGCGTTGGCGCCTGGCGGGGCGTCCATGCGCCGTTACGCGTCCTCCCGTAAACCTCCATCAATGTTGCCCTCCCCCCTCCGCCCCATCCCCCGCACCCCTATTCCGATTGGCACCATTTGGATAGAGCGTTCATTCAGCCTCAGTTCTCTGATGCGTTTTTGACATATTGAGCAAAGCGCGGGGGACGCGGCATTGCGGGGCCGGGCCGGGGAGCGTCGTATGAGTCTATCGGTCGCGCGCACTTGGTCCGCTCGAGGCCCCCCCCCCTCTCCCCGCCCTTTCCACCACCCCGGGCTGCGCGGGGTCCGCGGCTCATGAAGGAAAGAATTGAAAGGTGGTTTTAGAGAGAGAAAGAGGGGAGGGGGAGGGGCGGCGGCGCAGGGATATTGTAACAGGTTGGTGACGGATTGAACGCGGCGATGCGGCCCGCTGGCTCAGTGGCGGCGCCGCCAGCCCGAGGACATGTCGAGCACTTGCCTGCCGTCGCCTGGAGCCGCGTCGGGGAGGGTGAGCACCAACTCGTCGCGGCCGAACGGACCCTCCTTAACCCCTTTCTCGGCACTGAGTAATGTTCCTCTTGAAGCTGGCGGACCAGGAGGCCCCCAGCAACAGCCCGCCCGTGTCGGCCGCCGCCGCCTCGCCCTCGTCGCCGCCGGACCGCTCGGCAGCAGCCTACCGCCGCCAGGAGCAGGATGCCCGGGGTGCCCGTGACGGCCGCGACAGCCGCGACACCCCAGAGTGGCCGCCGGCCGCATCCCCGGCGACGACACTCGCCGCCGGCCTGCCTGCGTCCGCAGCCTTCCCTGCTCTGGCCCCGGGGTACGCACCGCAGGTAGAGCAGTGTGTGAGCACCGAGTGGCGCGCGCCCCAGGGCGAGCCGCACCCAGGACCCACCCCTCGTCTCTGTGCTCGCAGGCCGAGTGCGGCGAGTGCCAGTGGGGCGACGTGGACCTGAGCGGCTACGCGCCGCTCTGCTCGCCGACGCCGCTGCCCGGGGGCGCCACCTACACCATCCTCACCTCGCTGCCCGTGCCGCCCATGCTGCCCATGGCGCCCGCCGCCCCCGCGGACACCGTCGCGTACGAGGACGAGCCGCGGACCCTCCACGAGCTACAGGTGAGTGAGATGTGAGTCCAGACATACGCCGGACGTATGCAGGGTTTTTGCAATTCGGCGAAAAGATCATCATTTTTGCTACCTGCTGTAGCTGTTTTTGAAACTTTCAACGCTTTTGTTCAAATTTCAGTCGGCGGTAGCCGTACCAATGAGACCTCACCCGAGCATTGAGTGCTTCAAGTCGCCTACATCGGCTGCGCATGCGCCACTTCACGCCGGTGAGTACGCCAAGTACACCCATCCTGTTGCAGTTGTGAGCTTGTGACACAAAACACACGACCACTGGTCTGACCAATAGTGTATTTCGACTAACGGAAAAAGAAGAATAGCGGGCAGAACATATTGATTGGCCGAGCGCCTACCCCCACTACCGGCGTGACGTAGAGGCGGGAAGCTCTCGACCTATGTTCCAGCCACGGACTGGCCCGGGTTGGCTAGTCGGGAAATCCCGACCGGGCCCCAGGCGAAAAAGGTATCTTTTGGGGCCCTTGAAGGCAAAAAGGTATCTTTTGGGGCCCCTTGCCGCCAAAAAAGGTATCTTTTGGGGCCCCTTGCCGCCAAAAAAGGTATCTTTTGGGGCCCCTCGGAGCAGTTTCCAGACTGGGCCCCTAGACCCCCAGTCCGTGGCTGCTATGTTCTACCCGCTGTTCTTCTTCCTCCGTTAGTCGAAATACACTATATGAGCCCCCAAGCCCCCCATTGCTATAGCCGTTCTTCAGGCGGGTTGCCCTGAAGCCATTCGGTAGTTTTTTTTTCTGGATCCGCGCCTGTTTGATATCGGTTTGACTCTGTATTCCGTCGACATTCTGATTTGAGTCAGTTTTGTTAAACCTGTTGTCGGTCTCTGCCGTGTGCAGCTCGCGTCCTGGTGCCGCAGGCTCAGCTGGCCGTCGAGGTGGACTCCACGACGCGCGCCCTGGAGCGGGGACACGAGGCCCAGATACGCCAGCAGCACAACTCGAGACACTACCGCTCGCAGGAAGAAATCGAAAGGGGTGAGTTCCAATCACTTGCTGGGCGCAAAACCCGCGCACATTCTTTCCCCACCTGCCGCGCCGCCGCCCTGTAGGGGAGGGGAGGGGCCACCCAGAGAGTACGCCGTTATTCTCCGTTGAGAACCTATGCCAAGTTCAGCGTCTAGCTCTCATAGCGCCTGGTGGGTAGGCAACATCCTGTCTGCAGTGCATCCGTGTCCTGCGGGGTGGCCTACCCTGAGCCTCACAGGCGCCGAGCTCCCGTAAATCGGCGAGCGAATCTAGGCAAAACGGACGTTATCAGTAAGCTCCGTATAAAAAATATCATGAGATGTTAGCGGCCGCATGCTGCATATCCTCCCGCACTGCGCACGCCTGCATGCGGTACAGTCTCCAAAACAGTGAAGGGTTGGCGCGCCACTTGGTGCGGCCCTGCCGCCGAGTAGACGTGTACTACAGTGAGTTGTTTGGGCCGCAGCTTACAGGAAGAACGCTTGTGATCGAGAGCGCTGCCGGATGGCGGACATGAACCGCGCGTACGACTTGCTGCGCATGCGCGTGCCCACGGCCAGGAAGCCCCCCAAGAAGCTGTCCAAGATCGAGTGCTTGAGGTGAGTCTGTTGCGGGGTGCTTCGGTGAACGGAGGAAGGAGAACAGCGGGTGGAACATAATATGCCTCCCGATTGGTCGAGAGCTCCGCCCGCTCCGCGCCCTTTCGCCACGCCGCGTAGTGGGGTAAAGGCTCGACCAATCAGGAACCTGTGTTTCTACACGCTATTCTTCTTCATCGGCCGACCGTCCGCGTCACTCTAACTCGTCTCTTGACTTCACGCGCAGGCTCGCGATCAAGTACATCCGTGACTTGCGCGAGGAGCTGCGCCACGGCCAGCAGGGGCAGGCGCAGGCCGGCCCCTGGCCCACGGCGCCGTGGGGCGTGCCCGTGATCGTGGACCAGGGGGGCGCCGGCGCGGACCTGGACCACCCCGCCGACACCAGCGCCACCTGCTACGGCGTGGAGCAGCCCTCGCTCTATATGGCCGCCGCCGGCCACTACCCCGCGCAGGGGCTGCTGCTCTGCGCCCCGGGCACACCAGGCGGGGCCGCGCCGGCCGGGGCGGGCGGGCCTTCCCCCGCGCGCTGGAGCTAGCCGAGTGGCGCACTGGGGTTCCTGCTGGGCCGAGGGTTTCACTCGAAAACAATCAGTGTACACCAAAGTGTATTGTACACCCTCCAAAACAATCCAGGAAAATTCAATTAGAAAACAGGAAAATGCAGAAAACTCCGAAAAAAAAAACTATTAAAAAAAACACACAAAAAAAGGTGTTTGCTTGTATTTATAGTGAAATACTGTACCCCTCGGCCTGGGCATGGGGCCACGCTACAGCAACAGCCTGTACTAATGTGCTAGTCATAGAGTGTCGTGAGGAGTCAAGAAGAAACCTGGAAGCGGCTTGTGCATTTGGGAATTTTAAATTTTATTGTTGCACTGCTTGTAATGGGTGTGTTGATGTAATTTTTTAGACGTTTTCTTATTATATGACGTATTTTCTTAATGGTAATAGTACACGACCGGCTCAGCATTCTTAGCTGCGATGTGACTTAAAGAAAAGGCATACGCAATACATTAATTTCTTTGAAAAAGAAAAACCAACAAAAGTTTTACTTTGAATAAAACATTTTTAATACTCTACAACTTACCTACTTTTGCCTACACTGAGGGCACACTACAGCTGACCGCTCGACGCAATCATGAATATTTTGACAGCCTCTTTCCCACCATGGCTGTGTGCCCTTGCCCTATTGCGGTTCTCGACATGGTCCAGTGGTTGCGCGAGCGTCGCAAGGGCTTGTGGGCGGTGGCCCCCACCTCCAGTGGGGTCAGGCGGCTGGACCGGGGGGCTGGAATGGGGTGCGGTGGGGTGCGGCGGTCAGAGAGATGCTGCGTTTGGACATCTTCTTGTCTCTCTCTCTCACCCACGGAAAGAGATACAGTACTGCAAGAGAGAAGCGTGCAAGTGAGAGTGCAAGTTAATATTTAGTGTTTGGGGGTGGTGGGGGAGGGGGGTTATCGAGGTGAGACCTGGAGCCCCCGACAACAGCGACAAATAAAAGCCGGGAGAGAAGCGCGGACACGGCACTCGCCGCGCAGCACCCACAACCACCAGCAGCATGGCCCGGAAGGTAAGACTGACCTGCGACTCAAGAGAAAGGGAGAACCTGTACCCATGCCAAGAGGGGGCTAACCGTCGGGCTCCCTCGCACAGTGTGCTTGGGGCGCAAGCCGGGTGCAAACCAGCCACAAACAGCCCGCGAGACAGAGCCCATATCAAATAACTTTTTTATGTGCCCCCTAAAAGTTCAGAATGATTACAAAGTTGTCTGTCTTGTTCCAGGTTCTGGGCTGCCTATTTCTGGCCCTTGTGGCCGCCAACGCCCAGTATGCGCCCCCTAGGTTAGCTCCAGCACCTCCACCAGCCCCCGAGCCTCTACCACTCCCCGAACCTGTCGTTAACTCGGCACCGGTTATACTTCCTCCCTCGACTGGGGCCAACACAGACCCTGGCTTGACAAATTACCAGTACGCACCCGCACAGGTCCAGCAGCAGTCGCTTTCCCCGGCATTCGCTCCCGCCCCCATCCCCGATCCCCAGTACGGACC